CGCTGAGGACAGCACAGCCGAATCCGAGGGCTGAGCTGTAGTCGACGGGGACAGTTGGCAGCGGCTGCCAGAGCTGATAAGTGGGGTCGAACGCGTGCCATGAGATTCGATTGTCTTTGTCTCGTTTGACCACATAGACCCATTCTTCGGCCATGCCGAGGGATTTGCGGAGGGAGTAGAAGAAGTTCCCGGCTAGGAGCTTGAACCAGCGTTTGCTGACGAGGCGGAGCTTGTTGTGGTCGACGCGTGGGACCCGGATGAGGCAGGCGATGGCCAGGTCATCGGGGAGACCTGGGAGGAGAGGGGGCTGGATCCTTGTTCGCTCGCGGCGGGAGTTTTTGGAACGGTGTGCTCTAGGGTTGATGTCTGGTTGGATGCAGATTTTGGAACCTGGTACGAATTTTCTTGCACCGACCACTGTTTTCAGACCAGAGTCTACCTTGCAGTAACATGACACAGAATCGACCTGCAAAAATGGTAGAAAGACGAGTAATAAGGTAAGCTGATGGGAATTATATACCAAGACTTGACATTCGAGTTAGATGCATAACAGGCATAAAAGTCCTCAAATTTGAATGCAGGAAATAAGCTGAATTTACGATAGTCGACATAAATTATATTTAAAGAGGTGCTTTATACTTTTTGTTCTTGAGCATTTCTAGTATATTTTTCTTCGGTTCATTATCTTCAGATTTAGCATAGCCATATATCTCAAAGGCTCGGCTACAATACAATACTTTTAGCAGCATACTACGAGTTCCTTAATACGATGGGAGTTAAATCGGATAGCAAAAATGAGTTCCCTAATACACTCTGGATTTAGAAAACGAATCTTGCTCACAAAATTAACCCGTTCGATGTTTTAATAGCAAATTCACACAAGGGAGATCCTCATCTACTTGGTTCATTTCCCACTTCCTGAATCGAAATTACTCGAATTAACTTTCAACCTACCTCCATCTCCAATCTATTCACATAAATCTATTGCATTCTCAATTGATATGTGTATCTTCAAAGATCAACAAAACCAAAATTCAAAAAAAGAAAAAACCCACAGCACATAATCCTCAGAATACAAAGAAATCCAGAAGTACAGATAAAGCACATTACCAAGAATTTCATATGGGAATCATGAAAAACACATGAATTCAAAGAATTGCTAACACAAAAAGGTCAAAGGATCAAGTTTGACTTACCAGTGGTGCTTGAACTCGGTAACCCCTTTGTACATTTGGTGACCTCTCTACCGTTTGCTCCATATATATCAAAACTCAAGTCTCATATACATATAAAAAAATTTAAAAAAAAAAAAAAAAAAAAAACCCACCTTTTTCTCTTCAAGAGAGAGAAAAAACTCAGATCAAGAACTCAAAAAAATCAAATCTTGAAATCTGAATAAACTCAGCATTCGATGAGAAAAAAAACCCAGAAATCTTCACAGAAAAAAAAGGAGAAAGAAAAAGAAAAATCCCACAAGCCCCAAGAAAGAAGCTTTTTTTTAGGGGTCCCCTTTTTTCACATCTGCAAATGCAAACAAGAAAACCAACAGCAAAAATTTGGGTTTTGGGAGTTAGGACTGTTTGCTATACTTCAAAACGTGAAGGGCATCTCTCTCTCTCTCTCTCTCTCTCTCTCTC